TATCTTGGTGAGCTAAAGTTCTTTGTTCGAAACAAAGCTTGTCCAGAGGGTTAATTTGCAAAATCTTTTTTTATCGGATTAATGCATGACATTTTGTTCAAGATATCTACACGGTTTCTCCACCAAGCATAACCAACCATCAAGGAATGATGACAACCCAGAGGACTCTGAATCTTCAATATTTTCACAACAATCTATGTTGTTTCCTCCAGTACGGAAACCGTTGGGAAGACCAATGGCATACACTTTAACGGATAAGGAAGCAGCACAAGCCACCACAGATATGTGTTGCTCATCTGTGATGCTGTGCAGCCATATTTGTTGTAAATGTCATGCCACTACCTCTTAATTTGTGAATTAATAAGTTTTGAACTGAAATAGTGGTCTTTGTATTTTGTAGAGAACATGGGGCTTATTTGAGAAGGAAGAATCGCAAGAAACACATAGATCCAAGGACCTTAGAGAAAATGCAGCATGAACAATTTCCTGAATGGTTCAAGAATCATGTAAGTACAATGATTCAATTTATTTACGATTAGAATGTAGCTTATGCACTCTATTATTTGTGTTCCTATAGGTGATGCAGTTGGAGAGGGAGAAAGGTAGTGATAGCATCGGTGAGGAAATTAGATGGTTGGCCCGTGGTCCACTTGAGGTTGCAACAAAACATAGAGCATTCAATATTCAAAGGATACAGATTTAGACCGAAGCGTTATGACAAAGTAACTCAAAATAGTGGAGTTGTTGTGACAGCAAAAACATCAAGCTACTCTTCTACACGTGATAGAAATCCTATTCTTGGAAATGTCATGTACTTTGGAAGGATTGTGGACATAGTTGAGTTAGACTATTTCCGAAAAAAAATTGTGGTGCTGTTGAAATGTGAATGGGTTGATGCTACTGAAGGAAAAGGTATGCAAATAGATAAGTATGGGTGTAGACTTGTGAATTTCTCTAGTCTGACTCTCACTGGTAAAAGGGCAGAGGATGAACCTTTTGTATTAGCCAATCAAATTGACCAAGTATTCTATGTGGATGACCATCTTTATCCAGGATGGTCAATTGCTTTGAAGATGATGCCTCGAGATTATTTTGATATGGGTGAAGAATGAAATGATGTGGAAACGGAACCTTATCATGTTAGTAAATTCTTTCAGCTTTTTGATACTGCCCATCAGAAAAAATTTGGATCAGAAGAGATATAGAGGGAGAAACTGTAGATGCTCCTATAGTGTCGAGTGATGACACAATACCTGAATAAAGGTCACGTTCAATGCGATTTAGTTATTTACATTCTTAGTAGCATTGCTGCAACTTATGTCATTCTGGATATGAAACTTACCACTATTGCTTCTGAATGCAGGTTTGATGGATAATCAAAAAGTCACCTATCTGAATATGTGGAGCCTAGTTGAAGTGACAAATTCATTAGTGTTATTGCTATTTTTTTCTTTAATGTTTATGTACTTTATAATTCAGACAAGAAGATTTGTAGGTGTGCATGACTAAAGTGTCAATACTTGATCCCAAATATGTTGGTTCCACGAACAGCATAAAAGTTTTAAATAGGCTGGTTTCACAAACTCGATCAATACATTGGTGTTGGTTGTCATCTTTCCAATACATCATGAGTTGCAGTATCTATAAAGTGTGAGTTACATACTATTTTTGGTTCACAAAACAGAGAGTGAGAAAGAGAGAAGGAGAGAAACAGAGTGGCGGAGGCAGAAATAATTTTCAGATGTATATTACTCCCTCATATATAGATACATGGATTTCTTGTCAAGTAATTCCGGACGGAGGTTTATATTTAGCAAATATACAGCACAAATTCGAAAAGCTAAATATTAACACTCAAAATACCACTACATGAAAATTATATGGATGGCTATTCACCAAGTTACTGGACGAAACTAATCAATTCATCTTTTATCAATGGGAAGGCATGAGAATAAATGTACAGCATGATTATAACTAGAAGACTGAAGAACATAAAGTCATACTCCCTCTGTAAAGAAACGTAAAAAAATATAATTATTTGCACCAGAATTTAGCAGAAACGTAAAGAAATATAAGTATTTGCACCAGAATTTAGGTATGCCATGCGGCAAACCTGGCCAGATAGCTGGCTTCGGCACTGCTCCGTGTCTGGTACAGCACGCCTTCAGGAGGGAGGGGGGCTCGCGGTGCATCAGAGACCGCGTCTGGTGTAGCGCGACCAGTAATTCTGATGCAGGTTTGGCGTGAGGCGTAGGGCGTAGGGCCAGGTTGGAATTTCAGCAACGCTGTTTTTTTAAAAAAATTTCATACCTTTTTATTATACTCCCTCCGTCTCACAATATAAGACGAGTGTCAAAAACTTTCTTATATTATGCGACGGATGGAGTAACATATTAATGATATTAAAACACACATATACAATTAAGTACCCACGCTCAAATTCCCCTGAATCGACTTGGGAGAGGTTTGTGGGCGTCCGGACTCGTGCTAATATACTTGGTCTCTGCCATAGTGCGTACAGTGCCGTCGTTGGTCTGATCAACCGATCACGCGCCTGTTTTTGCCAAGCACGCCCCTGAGCATGCGCCTACCACAGATCGAGCCACGGGTTGTCGTCGCATCGTCCCTTCGTACCGCCGTGGCGTCGCCCCAAGGTCCTCCTGCCGGCTGCCCTATTACTTCGACACAGACCACCCCGACTCGACATTGACCACGGCCTTCTTCGCACCACTACTTCGACACCACTACACCCATCACTAACCCGGCGCCTCCTTGCGCCCGTGGCTCCATGGTAACTTCCTCGACAGCGGCCACCCCGACTCGACATTGACCACAGCGTTCTTCGCATGGCTACCTCGACCACGGCTACACCACCCTACGCTCACGGCTATCCCGACAATGACACAAAGGGCTACCGCCTTGCTTGAACAATCTCGTCGGTTTCCACTCCAGCCACGACTTCCATGATGCATCGACCGTTACGACTGTGGGGTGGATGTCCATCGGTTTACCTTCGGATTCTTCTCCAATGTCACCATATGCGCCGTTGAAGGAGGAAGATCTTGCTCTCCTCGGATGATGGAGAGCATCATCAGCCGCCCCTCCTCGACGAGGCTACCGCAACAAACCAGGAGTTCTAGCGGCAGTTTGAGCTCCCTCCTTGATCACGATTTAGCGCCGCCCTCGTCGCTACCCTTGTGGCCCTACTGCTGCCATTGCCGCCCTGTCGGTGCACGCAAGCTGTGAAGTAGGAGCCATACCTGGCGCTCACGAACGCACGCGGGCGAATTGTGCATTACCTTCGACACGGTGGCTGGAGAACGGAGAACGTCGCCGCAGTGTCCTGGCGGCAGGAAAGTCAATTGGTCGGCGCAACACGCAACAATTTGTCGTGTTCGAGATGTCAGACTGGACTAGGTCCTCGCAAACGCCGTGCTGGCAGAGGCCTATGCGCCGCCTCAAGGGGAGAGGTGGGCGGAATGGGGCGACGTTCGCGACCGACGCTGGACTATGGGCGACAGGGAAGGAAGTTGAGCGGCTACACCGATGTGGCAGGTCAGCCAATCATCCCATTTTGACTAACAGAAAACATTATTAGTTCATCTATTTTGCATTGTATTTGTACAAACATAGAAGAAGCACGTTGTGTTTGGCACAAATATATGTGCAAGCGCCTGTCAAGGGCCAAATGATAATAAAAAATATTATAATTTTTGCTTCAAATTTGTAGTCGCTTGTTTTTTTTGTTTTTTGATTTCGCACCAAATTTTCCGTTTCCCTCTATTCTCTCCCGCCAATGGCCAAAAGAAAATCATGATCTCCCAAAAATATTATAATTCTAGTCAAAAGAAAATAAGTACGCGTGCTTCATTAACATCAGCTCTCGCGAGGAGGTAACTATACCACCAAAATCGGAAACCTCCTCCCCCCTCCCCCATATCAACGCAGTCCCCTTCCTCCTCTTTTACGAAGCATCCCTTCCTGAGCAGATCGATCGTGGCCAGCCCTCCCTCCTGAGTCTTATAGCTCGCCCCGCCGATTCCATCGTTGAGGCCGACGGTACCAGAGGCGTGTCTTGTTCAACAACTGGGCGGTAAGCAGATCAATCCCCACACCTGATTTATAGAAACGGAAGGTAAATTCTAGTACAAATTGAAGATTTTGCCTCCTCCCCCCCTTCTTGGTTCAGATGTGTCCCTTCTATTCTTTTCTATTACTCTTCTCTTGAGTGAATTCGATAGTGCACACCAAGTGTTTGATAGTTGTCCTCTGTTATTGTTTTAGAATTTTGGGGAGCCTTCAGATAGAGTTGGTTGCTTCTGGTAACTATTGGGGTGTCAGGTGCGGACACGTGCAATTTTCAATCTAGTTCTGCACCATTACTACCTTGGTGACTTCAATCTCTTCATAGATTTTCTTTATGGAAATCCAATTCTGAATATCATGTTCTTGTTGGGTAGTATACTTGGGTTAGTTCTTATGAGTATCAAACCATGATCTGGGCCCCCAATAATTTGAATGTTAATTTTTTATGAATACCAGAACATGATGTGCAACATGACAACTAACAGTCCAGTCTGCAAACGACACACTTGTTCTGAAAATAAATGTTAGTGACTTGAGAATAACATATCATCAGCCTAGCTATATTGGTTGTGCATGAACCAAACCTCCTTAGCAGAAAAGAGAATGAACGTGGGTGTCCTTGACCTTATCATCTTCTTACCATCCATGGATAGTGTTATACCTGAACATGTGTGCCCCCTCCCCCTAGCAAACACAAAGTTAGGCACCATATCACGTCAAGTACAATGTGGTCTGACTTATTTTGTTGATTGCAGGGGTAGTAATTATTTGATAATATGATTGTTTGAGCTGAAATCTGAATTAATTGTCTTCACATCTATTGGGATGACTATCATAAGGTCGAGCAGGACCACAAAATATTTTCTTTTGCAAAAAATATTTAAACTTTTGGTCATTTTAATGTTGCAGTATATATGTCACGGACAAGAATTAACGTTGTTGAATCTAATGAAGAATATATGATGAAAGAACCGATCGGACATCATAATTCTGCAGAAAACGATGTCGAATCATCCGATGTCCATGAAAGAACTACTAATGATAAAGAAGGTTTCACAAATTGTGATGACGCTGATGCGGATGAAACCGAAGATGGTAGGTTTGTTGCTCATTACTTACCGTTTGCAATATATGATTATTCTTCATTGTAACATATAATTCATGGTTCTATATATTCAGGTGAAAATGCAAAAACAAAAGAGCGTAAGAAGAGGAAGCTGAAATATATTTGGAACCTTCCAAAAGGGAAAAGGATAATGGTTCGCTGCAATGACATAGATCAGCCAATTGGAAAAGAGGATAAACATCTTGGGGATTTTCTTGGCTCAGTTGCAAGGAATTGATCAGTGTGTTTATTGAGCTACAAGGATTGGAGATTGCTCAAAATGAAAACAAATGTAAAGGCTATACTAGGTCAAGTGAAGGTAAAATTTAATCCATTGAATATCCTTTACTAGCTTGTTCTATGTTGCCTTACATTGCACTTACCCTATTTATGTTGTAATTGTTTTGTAGATAAGGTTCCTTTACCCTCCTCGCATGGAAAAATATATATTGAAGATAATTGGAGACAGATGGAGGCAACATAAGTCCGATCTGAAAGCAATGTATTTTGATGAGAAAAAAGCACCGAAGCCAATTACAACAATAAACCAAAATCCGTGACTCCGGATCAGTGGAGATCTCTAGTTAATCATTGGACAACCCAGAAAGCGAAGTTACTTTAAAGAATTCCATTTTAAACTTTCCTCGTTGGACTTTATATATTGCTCTGTAGATATGATGAAAGATTTGGACATAATTGCTTTGATTTATTCTTTGGTAGGGGATTAGTGCTACAATAGAAATAATTGTTCAATGAGGAAGTCTACACATACTAGTGGGACACAAAGTTTCCCTCGTTAGAGGGAAGAAATGGTAAATTATACTAACTTCATGCATTGCTCTTCCATTCACGTTTTCTAATGTAATTGATGTCTACATTACATATCAACAAAAAGATGGCACATGTAGCTATCGAGCAGGGACGGACCACAGGCGATGCCACGGGCGACGCGAGCGACTCCCGCGGCAGCAACCGACGCGTCCCGGGCGGCCGCCTCCGGCATGCCTAGCGGGCGGGTCGGCGGCAGGTTCTGGTCCCTCACGGAGACTGACGACGAGGACGATGAGGACGGAGGGATCACTGACGGCTCGCCGGATTTGTCTTCCCCAACACCTTCCGATGTGATCTGCGAAGCTTTCAACCCAAGTTATTCGGAGGAGGACATTGCTACTATTTTCGATGTTGTAGTTCCAAGCGACGACCTGGCAAGGCAAGGATTGCGATCTGACGACAAGATCGAGTTGGTTCGCCGGATAGTTCACAAGAGGACGGCGCCCAGGCATGATCCCCAAGGTATGTCTTGCGCCAATTACTTTATCAGATTTTTGGTTACCGGATTTGTGGACAAGAGTTACTAGAAAGAAGAAGAGGAACGGACGGGCGGCTGCGCCGGCGCCGTCGGGGCGGCTGAGATCCAGGCAGTCAGGCAATTGCGTTTGAATCAACTACTGGGCCAAGCTGGGCCTGAGGTTGATAGAGCCAATACAGAATCAGGCATGACTGGGCGAGTGGCCTAGCATGCGATCCCCGTAACGTTGCCTAGATACGTGGTTCCTGCGCGACGATCGACTTGATTTAGCGATCGGTCCGCTTCCGCTCCTGACTGCTAGGGTTCGCCGTTCTGGGACTCCTGGTTTCCTTTGCTCGGGGTAGGGCGCGCCGCTAGGAGAAGCTGCCCGACGGGAGACGCCATGACGGGGCGTGGAAACCTGCCGCCAACAAAGCAAGGGGCTGCGCCCCCGGCACCGGCTCTTGCAAGAACGAACGCGACAATGGCTCCGGGCCGGACCGCCGTGAGACAGCCGGTGGCGCAGCCTGGCCAGGCCGTCGGGCGGGGCGGCGACTTGGCTACCAGGCGGGGTGACGCCCAAGCCGCCGGGCGGGACGGCGCCCAGGTCGCAGGACGGGGTGGTGCCCCTGTTGCACCTGTGGCCGGGCGTGGCGGTGCTCCTGGCACCGGGCAGGGCAATGGTCCCGGTTGTGGTGGCTATGGAGGTGGCGGACGGAACTACGGTGGTGACGGATTTCGTTACAACCGATATGGACAGTGGGGTGATGATGGATACGATGCGTACGGCGAGGGACAACACCGTAACTCTTCGTCGGGCGGTGGACATGGCTCTGGATGGTACAATGATGGCGGATCGGGACGTGGCTTTCAAGGTCCTCCCACCAATTTTGTCGAGGGGGTGGCCTGCCCAACAAACCGGTATAACTGGGTAGCTCACCGAAGTTTCCAAGGTGGGAGAGGAGGGGATCGGCGCCCGCCTCCACCGCGGCCTGCTCCACCGTCTGTTGATGCGGCCGCGGTGACACATGCCAAACCTGTTGCTACGGTGCAGACGGTCGCGCCTGCTCTTCCTGAGGTAGTTGTAGACACAGTCCGGGCCTTGGCGGCTGTCAGCATTCCAGTGACCAGTACCGCAGTTACTAAGGCTAGTGACGAAGGTTCTGAGAAGGTTCTGGACAAATGGGATGGTGAAAAGTTATCAAAGTGGGCTGCTAAGAAAAAGAAGCTACCGTGTTATAGATGTGGCGAGCCGGGACATTTTGTGGCAGAGTGTACCATAGAATTATGTGATTATTGTTGTACACCGCAACATACAACCGACGAGTGTCTGCTGCTTACGGGCACCAAACCGGTGGTCAATATCTATGGAGTTTGCTGTTAGGAGCTTATGTTTTTTGAGTCACCTGATGTGGCACTTGTGACGCATGTGCAAGAGAGCTCCTTCCCCGCTGTTGTCAAGGTTACCAATGGGATTGTGACAGAGGCACAGATTGTGCGACAGTTGCAGGACTTGGTACCAGGCAACCACATGTGGGACCTTGTCAAGTTGGAGTCCCAGACTTAAAAGGTTGATTTTCCCACTAAGGAGTATCAGTTACATGCTCTTAAGTATGGAATGTGTAGAGTACAGAGTAGAAATATTATCTTGGCCTTTGATGAGTGGAAGGAGAAGGACCCAGAGGGTACACCTTTAAAGAAGGTATGAGTTCGCTTCTATGGTGCATCTCGCAAGTATATTAATCACTTCTTGGTAGCTTGGAGTTTGGGTTCTATCATCAGTAAGACGAAACAAGTGGACATGCCTTTTACTCGGGCACACGGAGCAGCGAGGTTAATTGTCAGTGTTCTCAGTTTGGAGTTCGTCCCGGATGTGGTCAAGTGGATGCATTCCGGGGTGACATACGTGCTTGAGCTTGAGACTGAGGATACACCAATGCCTCGGGAGGGAGATGAGATTCACGACATGGATGCGACTGAGGGCGATGGTGCACCCGGGAATCAGGGCAAGGGGCCTGAGAGCACACCATGGGAGCCGCCTAAGGGGCCGGCGTCGCAGGGTATGGGAGATACATCCGCCAAGGAGGCGCCCTCTTCCACGACACCGATGAACTCACTTCGGTTTGGGTCTTTTGGACTGCGGTCTGCACCTAGTCGGTTATGGAGTAACCGAGTTGAGGCGGATGATCCAGAGGAACTCGAGTTACCGGCAGTGATGCTTCCTGCTGTTGGTTCACATACGTCTCTGAGGGTGGATCCCGGGCCACATGTTTCGTTGGGCAGCGCTATACCGTTGGTGTGTGTGGGGGGGGGGGCAGTGGGCAGGAGGCCCGCAGCCCCAGCCCACCCGTGGCGGTTCCTAGTCCTATGGGAGAGGGGCGCGGGCTGGAGGCCCGCGGCGTTCTCTCACCACGGGGCAGTCCGGGGTGGCATAGCCAGGAGCGCGGGCAGGAGGCCCGCAAACTCTCTTCTCCGACGTCGTGTCCACAGTCTCCTTCTCCCATTCCAACTTATGACAATTCGGAGGAGAGATGAAAAGAACAATGACAATTTTGATGGGCACTGGTCTATGATGTTTAACATGATTATCGAGAGTCTTAATTTGCGAGAAATTGAGCTCACTAGTAGATAATTTACTTGGGCCAGTACGTTGCCCACTCCAACTTATGAGAAGTTGGATGGGGTACTCGCCAGTGTGGAATGGGAACAAAAGTACCCTTTGGTGTCGGTCCATGCAATGCAGAGAGCGATCTTAGACCATACACCCCTTCTTGTAGATTCGGGTGAGGCTACACATGTCGCGAATAAGAACGCTTTCTCTTTCGAACTAGGTTGGTTCGAGAAAGATTTTTTTTGGAGATCATTGCACGCGAATGGGCAAAACCTGTTGGTGGAAGAAATAGTATTGAGAGATGGCAAAATAAGATCAGACATCTGAGACAGTCTTTGAGAGGTTGGGCCAGAAATGAGTGTGGGATTTACAAATAGAAAAAAAAAGACTCACTCAATTAATTGAGGCACTAGATTTAAAAGCCGAAAGCAATCTCCTTACGATTAGTGAACAAAACTCCAAGTCTTAAGCTGAGCAAGGCTTACGAGCTCTTCTTAGAGAAGAGGAGCTCAAGTGGGCACTGCGTGCTAAAGTGCTTAAGGTTGTCCAAGGGGATGACAATACACAATTCTTCCATATGATTGTGAATGGTAAACATAGGAAGAATAAAATTATACAGCTTGAACAGGACGAGGGACAATTGTGGGGCATGAGAATCTGAAAGCTTATATCTCTAACTACTATAAACAACTTTTTGGGCATCCAGAAGCAAGCACGGTGGCCCTAGATGAATCTATTTTAGGAGATATACCTCAACTCCAGGTAGAGGAGAATGATATTCTATCTGCACCATTTACTGAGAAGGAGGATCTGACTGCCATCTCACAAATGAAACCGAATAAAGCACCGAGACCAGATGGGTTTCCAGCTGAATTCTATAAGAATGTTAGCATATAATTAAGGATGATCTTTTGCCTATGTTTCAAGATTTCTTTAGTGGTCATCTCGAGTTGTTTCATCTTAACTTTGGCCTGATTACATTGTTGCCCAAGAAAAAGAAGCAGTTCAGATCGAACAATTTAGGCCAATATGTCTTCCTAATGTGAGTTTCAAAATTTTCACAAAGGTTGGTACCAATAGACTGACACAAATTTCTCATTCAGTGGTACAACCGAGTCACACAGCGTTCATGCCAGGGCGACACATACTTGAAGGGGCCATCGTTTTGCATGAAACGCTTCATGGAATCCATTCGAAGAAGCTAGATGGGGTTACCTTCAAAGTGGATTTTGAGAAGGCATATGATAAAGTTAAATGGCCTTTCCTTCAGCAGGCAATGCGCATGAAAGGATTTAGTGAGGCTTGGCGGGACCAAGTGGGTTCTCAAGTCTAGAATGGT